ATTTGTTAACATGTGTGAAACAGTTATTAATTTGTTTAATCATGGTCGGCCATACGGATCAAGATGCAACGTAATATTTACGCAAATTTATCGGAAGCAGATAGGGGACGTATTATCGGACTTTATCAATCAGGGACAAATAGAACAGTTATCGCAGAAACAGTAGGATGCAGTTAGAAGACAGTATCATTGTGGATTCGGAAATATGAAGAAGCAGGCTTTAATGTGTTAAAAGATCATAGGAAAAATAATGCAAGACCAAAAAAAACTACAGCTCATCAAGATGAAGAAATCGTCCAGTTGGTTGACGCAAATCCCTTCAATCCTGCTGCAACAGTTTTACAAAACGATAATTATCCAATCTCGGAAAGAACAGTGAGACGTCGCTTGAAAGCAGCTAAAGTTCGTTCGCATATACCAGCGAAAAAAATTGCACTCACAGAAAATCATCGAAATCAAAGAGTGCAATTTGCTAATCAGTACTTAAATACTCCGCAAGAAGAATGGAATACGGTAATATGGATGGACGAAAAAGTATTTTCTTCGAGTGAAGATGGAAGATACAGAGTGTGGCGACCGGACGGAGAACGCCTGAATCCAAAATACGTGATCCCCAATCAAAATAGTGGAAGAATTACATTAGGATTTTGGGGGAGCATGACATCCTTAGGATTAATGGATATTGTAGAAATTACACCACACATGAATGCAGAAGAATATGTAGGAATTTTGGAGGACGTCCTGAAACCTTCTGCCAGACGAATATTTCCTGAAGAACAATACCCAATAATTAAGATCGTGCAAGACAATAGTGCTGTGCACACTTCAAGAATGGTCCGAAGATGGTTTGAAGCGAATCCCGATTTTCAACCAATACCATGGCCTGCAAAATCACCTGATCTAAATCCAATCGAGAACGTATGGGGCAGAATGCAAAAATCATGGATAGCTGGTGAATTGAGAACTAGAGAAGCATTAAGAAATCATGTTCATCAAGTATGGAACGAGTTGGCATTGAATGCTGATTATACGCAAAATTTAGTGAATTCAATGTCGAGACGACTTCAAATGGTCATCGACAAGGATGGATTCTGGATTCCATACTGGTAAGTATGAATTTTATAACAATTTAAAAGTGATAATAATAATAATAATTTAATATTAGAATTTTTTCTTTTTTTCAGAAATTATACTTTATTAGAAGAAGTTCTTGGAACTATCAATTATCATGGCAAAACCACTCTAATAACAGCTGTTACCAAAGGTATTTCTTTTGTTTAGAGGATGATTGACTATGACTACCTTGCAAATAAGAGCTAACTGACTACTTTGAATTAATGGAAAATTTTGACATACAGATTGCCCGGGTCGTGCCGATTACATCAAAAACATGATCACAGGAATAGCTCAAATGGATGGTGCTATACTGCTCGTCGCTATCACGGATAGTAGGATGCCACAATTCATCATTTTTGATGATCAATTGCAGCCGTCTTGATATATATATTGAAGTCACCAAATTTTGCGTAAAAACAACATTCAATGTCAACTCGTTCCATACTTGTTGAACATGATTCCTTAATGCTTCTTTAGTTCTCAATTCACCAGCTATCCATGATGTTTGCATTCTGCCTCAAACGTTCTCGATTGGATTTAGATCGGATGATTTTGCAGGCCATGGTATTGGTTAAAAATCGGGATTCGCTTCAAACCATCTTCGGACTATTTTTGAAGTGTGCACAGCACTATTGTCTTGCACGATCTTAATTATCGAGTATTGTTCTTCAGGAAATATTCGTCTGGCAGAAGGTTTCAGGACTTCCTCCAAATATCCCACATATTCTTCTGCATTCATGTGTGGTGTAATTTCTACAATATCCATTAATCCTAAGGATGTCATGCTCCCCCAAAATCCTAATGTAATTCTTCCACTATTTTGACAGGGGAGCACGTATTTTGGATTCAGGCGTTCTCTGTCCGGTCGCCACACTCTGTATCTTCCATCTTCACTCGAAGAAAATACTTTTTTGTCCATCCATATTTCCATTCTTCTTGTGGAGTATTTAAGTACCGATTAGCAAATTGCACTCTTCGATTTCGATGATTTTCTGTGAGTGCATTTTTTTTCGCTGGTATATGCGAACGAACTTTAGCTGGTTTCAAGCGACGTCTCACTGTTCTTTCCGAGATTGGATATTTATCGTTTTGTAAAACTGTTGCAGCAGGATTGAAGGAATTTGCGTCAACCAACTGGACAATTTCTTCATCTTGATGAGCTGTAGTTTTTTTGGCCTTGCATTTATTTTTCCTATGATCTTTTATAGCATTAGAGTCTGCTTCTTCATATTTCCGAATCCACAATGATACTGTCTTCTTACTGCGTCCTGCTGTTTTTGCGATAACTGTTTTATTTGTTCCCAATTTATAAAATCCGATAATATGTCTGAAATGTAATACATTCTTTATTAATAGTCTAATATATTAATAATCTGTATAAAAGTAAAATGTTATATTATATTAGAGAGAGAGAGAGAGAGAGAGAGAGAGAGAGAGAGAAAGAGAGAGGGAGCGCTTATAATGTCTTCTTACATAGATATAAGAAACATATTCTTAAGCATGAAATAAATATGTAATAAAAACAATGGTATTTTTTTATTTGACTGATAAAAAAGTTGACGAAATGTTAATTTAATTTATGAGAAATCTATTTGGTAAATTTATTATTCGCACTATAGACTGATATTAAATATGTTATCCGTTCTTGGCAGTAATTTATTCTATCAATTGTAGGACAAAATTTCCATTTTTATAAAGTTTATTCACTAACCATATAAAAACAAAAATAAGAACAATAATACATACAATTTTTGTTTGGTCTATACTGTTTCTTTACTAAATAGTTTGCGTAACATGGAAATTTTTCTAAGAAAATAAATACGCTTTTTAAGATTTTTTCTTTTGTCAGAATTTATTTAACAGTAGTATTTCACAGTATTTTAACAATTTATTTAACATTATTTTGAGAAAAGAGATTTGCTCGCGAGGCACGATGCGCGATGCACGATGCAAACAAAGAGAAAGCAATATCGGATTTAGAAACTGTGCTGTGTGGGGAAATATAATTCGCGAGAACGCAATTACAGCCTTTCGATATCTTGGCGCAACTCTTTTTAAATTGATTTAATCCGAAGACTTGAATAGCCCTGCTGAAACCGAAGACCTGGAGACTGTCAATCCACGCCGATCTCTCTGCAACTGTCCATTCAGGATTCTCCTCGGAGATGTGATGAACCATTTGCTCGACGATGCTCTGTAAGAAATTATAATTTCATTAAAAGCCCACATGTTTATCCAACGTGAACGATAACAATTATAATCACTTGCTATTTAAGGATTATTAGTTTGTGAACTTTTTTAACAATTATAATATCAAATCAATCAAAAAACTTATAAACATTTTCTAAACAAAAGTTAATCTTATTAGTTATGTTCTACACACACAATACTACTTCAGTTTATGCATGCTAATTCATTGGAGAGCGAGATTTTATTGCGGAAACAAAACATATTTTCACTACCTATTTCTGTGCAATTTATTTGCCTACCATGACTTTGGTGTATCCCAAATTCCTCGTGTAGATGGTGAACGATGAATTTATCAACGAAAGAGCGATGGAGATTACCGCGAGGACACATGGTGACGATGGATCAGACTGATCAGAGTCCGTGGCGAGTATGCCGCATGACAAGCGTAGCGCGGATCGTCTGACGCTGATATTTCCCACTGGTGTTCTGCAATCGTATTTTGAAATTACTAATAATGTAATAATTTCTTAAATAATATAAATTAAATCATCTTACTGCATCTCCTCCTCCATTGACCATCATCTCTACCTTTCTCATAGTCATCGTTGTTTTCTTCCATTCTCTGTCCCAGCGGTCCCAGCTCATTTTCTTCTTCTTCTTCTTCTTTTCCTATTCGTATGACTCCGATTCTCTGGAAGGCTCGATACGGCCAATCGGGCCAATAATCTTTTTGTTAATGCCTCAGCTGCGATAACTGAAATTATATATATCAATATAAATTTGTCGTATAATAATTATTTACCATGCATTCAAATAATTAACATGTTCTTGTATTTCTTATACTCTCCTTATACTTCTGGACGATCCCTCGTGGTTCTTAACCTCTCTTCCGCAAACACACAGCTGTCAAACTGACAGTGACTGATAGCTCTCCACGACACGGTTGACCGTGCTCCACGACGTTACCGACCCAACAATCATGAAGCACGAATAGCGCTAGACGCGACGCGTTCAGCTACTATCTGCCCCCGAACGCGACTGACTTTAGGTGGAAGGCATTAATGACCGCGACTGTACATAGTAGTCTTCGCATACCTAGTATTAAGTATTTCGGTGACTCGCGCGAAACGTCGGCGGATCGCGATCGACGCGGAATCGATATTTGCGCGACTCACCAATCGGTGCTGCCCTCGCTCACCCCACGAGGGCACCCGCCTGAAGAACAAGTACTCGCTCGTGACACTGTTTCAGCGCCGCGAGCTCTCGGCACTCATCGTTACGACGTCTCGGAGCACAGAGGCTTTCGCTAAGATTCGGAGTCGCGAGATCACCAGCCCGCTCCCTGATAGTGCGATCGCCTACTTTCTCGGCCTGCTTGTTTGCTGCCTTTATCTGCTTCCTCCTGATTGCTTGCTGCCTGCCTTGATTTGCTTGCTGCCTGCCTTGCATTTGCCTTGCTTGCTGCCCTGCTTGCGCTGCTGCACGAGCCCGATCGTGACCGAGAGACGAAGCATCCAGGAGTCGACGGCACAACGAACGGTGAGTCGCATTTGCTTAACTTAATTCGCTTTGGGGAGACTTTACACACACCCCTGGTCCTTCGAGCTTCGCTTTATCGCAAATCCGGGTACGGCTCTACCGCCCCCCGAGCAAAGACCAAGAAAACGACCTTTAGAGGTAAATGATGAAATTAATAAAAACACTAAACTTAAACCAAACCCCTATGAAAATCCGTATAACACTCGAAGCCGAAAGGTGCGGGACACAAGCTTTGCAGGTATGACTCTGACAACAACAGAAAACGAGTTAATTGAATTTCCAACAATTGAAGAGGAATTTGAGGCAACCGAAAACGAAAATGTAGATAAATTATTGCACACTTTCTTTGCAAAATTAAACGAAAATCCGGTATCGATTGAAGATGCGATGATGTCTGAAGATAAAGAAAACTGGAACGTAGCCATCAAAGATGAACTCAATTCAATGAGTAAAAACAAAGTATGGGAATTAGTAGATCGCCCACAGAATGACGGGTCTGGCAAACAACCTAATATAATCGATTCAAGATGGATATTCAAACGGAAGACGGAGTC